GCCTGTAGTCCCAGCTACTCAGGAGGCTGAGGCAGTAGGATCGCTTGAGCCCAGGAGTTTGAGGTTGCTATGAGCTAGGCTGATGCCACGGCACTCTAGCTGGGGCAATAGAGCGAGACTGTTTCTCAAAAAAAAAAAAAAAAGAAGAAGAAGAAACCACTAGCCTTCTTTAGGAAAACTCATAGTAAAATTTCTTAGGCTAAAGTCCCAGAAATCTTGACTTGCTAAGGAGCTGGACTGATTTCTCTTTACGGAAAATGCAAATCATGTAACTGATCATGTTGCCTAGTTCACTGTGGCTGCCAGGAAGCTCATAGTCAAAATGTTTATCTCTGTTTATGTGAAGTAAGGCCAGATACATATCTGTTTATCTTCATAGCAATTTTGCCTGTGTGTTGATCTTCTATTCTCTTTAAATTCCTCTAATTCTTATTTTCGACTAATTGCCCTTTCCCATTTTGTTGTGGGAAAATCAAGTGGGAAACAAACAACTTACCTGAGACTCAGTCATTTTCTATTTCTCTGTGGAAAGCAATTGGGAACAAGTTGAGGTGCAGAAGAGTCTTCAGAGATCAAGCTGAGTTAACCATTCTTCAATGGCTGCATGTGAAAATGTGTTGCTTGTTAATTCATTGATGACTTATATTTCTCATCTGACCAAGTAATTCCGTTTCTGGAACTTCATCCTAAGGTAATAATCATGGATGTGTCCAGATATTTAACTGCAGGAATCTTCAACACAGCTTTGTCTTTAACACCATAATACTGAAAATAATGTAAATGCCCAGCACTGAAGACTGAGAAAATAAATTATGGAAACTCCAATGGGTGGAAAGACAGACAACCAGATGATTAAAAGAGGCTCAGGAGGCACAGCAACCAAATGTGAAGTACAGACTTTGGGTCTTAATTTGAACAGACAAAAAACTATTTATGAGATAATCATGAAAGTTTGAGCCCTGACTAGATGTTTGATGACATTAAGGAATTTAACCACTGATGATCTGAAGATATTATTGTTAATTATTTTACCTTGGGTAATGGTATTGACCTTGAAGTCCTTATCTTTTACATAATGAAGTATTTATGAATGAAATGGTATTTCTGAAATTTGTTTCAAAATAAGGACTATGTATGTAAAAATTCATTGAGCTATATGCTTAATATTTGTGCACTTTTACCTCAAGAAAAAAGAAAGAAAAAATAATCTGGGAGGAAGAAGTCTGTGGGTGGTCTAGGTGAGGAGTTGGCAAACTTTTACTGTAAAGGCCCATATAGTAAATGTTTTAGACTTTGTGGGATCTATGATCTCTGTTGCAACTACTCAGCTCTGCCATTGCAGGTTGAAAGTAGCCATAGACAATACATAAACTAATGGCGCTCACTGGCTGTGTTCCAATAAAATGTCATTTTTGAACACTGAAATTTGAATTTTATATCATTTCATATGTCACAAAATATTATTGTTCTTTTGATTTTTTCCAACGATTAGAAAATGTGAAAACCATTCTTAGCTCATAGCTGTATTTAAAAAGCAGCAGGCCAGATTTGGTCCACTGCCCATAGTTTTCCAATCCCTGGTCTAAAATGAAACAAGATCGGCCCTGAGTTGATGATTGATGAGACAGGGCGATGGGCTTAACGGGGATCCATTATACAATTCCCTCTATTTTTGTGGATGTTTGAAATTTTAAGCATTATCATAGAAATAAGCTAAGTAATACTATGGAAATAAAGTTAATGGCATGGAAATATAGCTGCAAAATGAAGAAGAGGCAGATCACAAGAACATGCTCCCAATTGTTTTATAACAGATAACATGTAGATCATGCATTTTCCACAGAGGTGATATCGTCCCCAAGGGGACGAAAATTGGTTCTTAGAGGGAAAAAAAAAACCTTAGATATTACAATGGTTTGTGGTCCTCCAAAGGTCAACCCTACCTGACAAAATCTTATTCTTGGTATTTAATTTCTTTCACTGGATTTTCTTGCGTATCACATGAGCAGAAGTAACCTTGAGTTCATGGAGGATCAGCACTACAAAACTACCACAAATAGATAACAATCAGGTATTGACTGAATTCTTATCCCAAGCCTCACAGGGTAGGCCCTACTATTATCAGCATTTCACAGTGAGGAAACTGAAGTCTAGAGAGATTAAACAACTTGTCCAATATCACACAGCCAGTGATTAGAAGGTGAGGTGGTTGAAGAACAAAAAGCAGAGAACGCCTCCCCAGCTGTCCTGGCACCAAGATTTGCAGAGAGGCAACTCTGCTTGCTTCTGGATGCACTAAAATCTTAATTCTCCTTAATTACAGAGGACACTGTCTGTTTTTAAACTCGAGAATAACAAAATGTTAGGTTTACATTTGTGCTTTACATTTTAAGATTAACTCAAAATCTTCACATTGAAAGCCACAATAAGGAAAAGTGAAGCCAAAAACTGGAAGGAGATATTTGCAAAACATATATCACCGATAAAGGAGTGGTATCAGAATATATAAAAACAATTCCTACAAATCAATAAGGAAAAGGCAGAGAGCCTGACAGAAAAATGAGCAAAAGATCTGAACAGGCATCTCACAAAAGAGGCTCTCCAAGTGAGCAATACATTTATGAAAATGTGCTCAATCTCATTAGTCATCAGGGAAATACAAATCAAAACCACAATGTCTGACTTCTCCATTAGAATGTTGACACCACATGGGCAGGGATTTCTGTTTATTCACGGATGTATTATTGATCTCAAAGAGCCACCCATCATGGACCCCACAAAATCCCAACGCTGACCTCACACCTTCCCATTCCTATCCCCACGGACGCTCATCCCTCATCATCCCTCACCCCACAGATCCCTCTATCATTCACCCCATGGATGAGCATCCCTCACCCTATAGACCACCCATTACTCACCCCACAACCGCCATCATTGAGTCCGCAGACCCTCCATCACTCACCCAGACCCCCTTCACCCATTCCACAGAAGCCCCATCACTCACCCCACAAACTCCCCATCACATAGCTCACACACTGTTACTCCTGGTCCCAGGCTCCCCTATCACTGTTCTCCACCTCACTCAGTCCAAATTACCCCTCCTTGATCCCTCCATGTGTCCCCATCCATCACCGACCACACACCGGGCCCCTCACCCCGGCTCTGCTCTCAGGACCCAAAAGCTCCTTCTCAGGCCGGGCGTGGCTCCCCGCTGGCCCAAATGCGTTTAACATCCCCCGAAAGGACCTTTCCCTTGCAGCCCTCCTGGGTAGGTCTGGATGACGCGGGAACTTAATCTTTCGCAAGCTCAGAAACAGCCGCGAAGCCGAGCTCTACCAGTAACAAAAATGGCGTCATCCCGTCGCGCCGGGACTTCTGTCGCCGGCAGGGGCCTCACACTGCTTCCTGAGGCTCCCATTCCCACCAGAGGAGATGTGTGTTTGGGTGCCAGGGGAGTCCCCGTGATATCTCCGCGGCAGGGTATTCGGAATTGGTCCTGTGAAAGCAGTGTGAGGCTTAGAAGTGCCACGACTGTCCTGGGCAGGCGAGTGGGCGTTCCCAGCCACCAGGAGAGGCCCGGCCCGAGCAAAGTCGTGGCGACGCAGCGGGGTGGGAACCGGGGAAAGTGGTAAAGCCAGATGGTGGGGGAACCGCGTGGGAGATTCCTCTGCGGAAGCCTCCTTTCTAAAACGTCTGGAGAAAATGAAGAGGCCTTTGATACACAGGGGCTCATACACACCCTCCGCCTGCCTCTCACAGCCTGTCATCAGCGCCCTCCCACCCTCATGCTGATCCTTCAAGGCGTCAAGGCCCGCCCCTGCCTGTCACTCACTGCCCACCTGGTCTTCCATTGGCTCCTTTGAACACAAACGGGCCCGTCTTCACCTGTCACTCACAGCCTGGACTTTCTGCCGGCTTTAATGTGGGCAGATGTGGCCTTTTACACCCCATATCAAAACAAAGAGTTGGCTGGTGCGGTGGCTTACCCTGGTAATCCTAGCACTTTGGGAAGCCAAGGTGGGAGGATCACTGGAGGCCAGGTGTTCCAAACCAGCCTGGGCAACATAGCGAGACCCTGTCTTTAAAAATGAAACAAAACAAAAACCCTGAAAAAGTTAATAGAATAAGAAGTTTGAGGTAAAACCCAGGGGCATTGATTTTAGAAGACTTAACAAGGGGCTGGATTGGAAGTCAGCCCGGGATATTAACGTAGTTAACAAAGGCTCAGGTACTATTAGTATATCCACAAAACAGGAGCTCTGATGGTACAGTAGTTGAGAAAGTCCTAGGATTCAAGACCTCTACCAGGGTATATGGATGGAGAAAACATTAACAAAAATGCCACTTGAAGGTCAAACCAGAGGGCCACTGATGGTGAAATAGTGACCCAATTCCAAAGTCATTTTAGAAAGGCTTTGAATGAAATGCTAACTTAGGCCCAAATCTGAGCTACAGACCAGAGAAGCATTGATGGTGGTGTAGTTAACAGAGGGCCACAATTCACAACCTATACCAAAGGGGCAATAACTCTGGAAGAGTTAACCAAGGCCTGACTTCAAGGTCAAACCAAATATGCATTTGTGATAAAAGTGTTAACTGAGGACTAGGGCTTATGCACACAGGAGAAAGGGCACAAACGGTGAAAAACTTAGAACAGGTTTTACTTTCTGCACACACCAAAGGAGCACAGATGGGGAGGATATAACTGAGGCCTGCAGTCAATGTGCAGACCTGAGGGGCAGCGATGGGGAAAGAGTTAACAGACATGAAAAAAAGTTTCACACATAAATTTCCCTGACAGTGGAAAAGTGAACAGACAGACGCTTAAGTTTAATACACAGACCCCAAGGGATTTTTAATTTTCCACCCTCAAAACCCTGAATTCTATCTCTGGATCAGAACCCATTAATGGTAGAATAGATAACAGATGCCTGAGTTCAAGATAAAATCAGAGGTTGATTTACATTGGAAAAGTTAATAGAAGCCCAGGTTGGACAGCACAGATAAGGAATTTTGATGGTGAAATCACTAAAAATGGCTGGGATCAGAGGTCAGATCAGAGGGATATGTATGGCAGAACAGTTAACAAGAACACAGTTTGAGTATAGACCAGATGGGCATCAATGGTGGAATATTTCAAAGATGCCTATATTCATTTCCTATTACTGCTCTAACAAATTACCACAAATTTACTAGCTCAAAACAGTGCAGAGTTACTATCTTATAGTCCTGGAGGTCAGAAGTCCAAAATGGGTTTCAGTGGGCCAAAATCGAGGTGTTGGCAGGGCTGCACCCCCTTCAGAGGCTCCAGGTGGAAAGTCCAATTCTTTGCTTTTTCTGGCTTCTAGAGACCACCTGTATTCCTTGGCTTATGGTCGCTTCCTCCATTTTCAAAGCCAACAGGGTAGCATCTTCAAATCTCTCTCTGACTGCAACCTTCTGCCTCCGTCATCACATCTCCTTCTCTGATTCTGACTCTTCTCCCTCCCTCTTATAAGAACCTGTTCCTTAGTGAACAAGTCTATACACACCTGCCCCCAAAGGCTGAGGGAGCTGAGAGGCTGAAGAAAGAGACTGACAAACGCAGTTTCTCAAAAAGAAACATTTAATGGGGACTTAGGAACAGAAGCCATGTCTCAGGAGGCTGCGAGATGGTGGACCCCCTCATCTGCCCTCCAGAAAGTATCCTTTATATAGCAAGCTTTTTTGGTAAAACATGTGTAGCTGGTCATGTTTTACACCCTCTTGCAAAACTCATGACCACTGGGGAAGTTAGGTAAGCATCCTTATAGGGGCTTATCTACGCTTCAGGCATCGTTTCTTGACCTTGCTGTGAGAATGCTTTAGTATGTAGGAGCTAAACGTCAGTCATTATGGTGGTTTCACTTCAAGATGGCATCACTCTTGCTATGCCAAGCAGGGTGTTTTCCTACAGGACCCTTGATTACATTGGGCCCATTTGGATAATCCAGAAAAATCTTCCTTTCTCAAGACTCTTAATCACATCTGCAAAATCCCTTTTGCCATGTAAGGTAATATATTCACAGATTCTAGGGGTTGGGACATGGACATCTTTGTGGGGGGCATTATTCTGTCTACCACAATTGTGAAGTCAAATCTCAATAGTGATGGAAAATTTGCTGAAGCACAGGGTATTAACAGGAGAAAGCTACTGATGGTAGATCAGATTTGAATTCAAACCAAATGGGCATTGATGAGGGGCCCAGGATGTTATGTTGGAATTGTTTCAAAGGCTTGAATTCAAGGTCAGAACAAAGGAAACTGATGGACTATCAACAGAAACCCTGGATCCTGGATCAAAGCCCCAGCACATTGATGATGAAAAAATTAACAGAGGCCCAGGTTTAAGATCTAGAATATAGGCACAGTGATGGTGGAATAATTAACAGAAAGTCCCAGGTTTGAGGTTAAAGCTAAAGGTCATTGATAATTAAAGATTTAACAGATAGCCAGATTCAAGGTCAAAAAATAGGAGCATTAATGTTTAAATCTATAACTGAAATCCAGGTTTAATATGTAAATCTGAGGGGGAAACTAATGGTGTTAAGAGACCTGGATTTGATTCACAGATCAGAAGAGGTATTGATGGAGGAAGAAATAAAAAGAGATTACCTGCAGCCAATTAAGTCAACCGTGCTCATTTATTTCCTCATGGGGGCCCAGTGTGCAATGGCTGCAAACAGCAGCCTCCTTGGTAGCGTATGCAGCCTGTTGCTTATATGGGTTGTTCTAAGAGAGACAGTCTAAGTTCTAAGGGAGACTTGGAGACAGTCCTTTCCGATATATGTTCATGTGTCAGATCCTGTGCTGTGCCCAATCTAGGCTCCAGACAGGTATGCACAGTGCCTTTGGGAAGCCCCAGGGCACTGTGGCCGGGGTTCACATTGGCCAAATCATCATGGCATACCAAACTGCAAAACAAGGAGCATGTGATTGAGGCCTTACGCAGGGCCAAGCTCAAGTTCCCTGGCCGCCAGAAGATACACATCTCAAAGAAGTAGGATTTTACCAAGTTTAATGCAGATGAATTTAAAGACATGGTGACTCATTCCAGATGGCTGTGGGGTCGAATACATCCCCAGTCAGGATCCCCTGGACGAATGGTGGGCCCTGCACTCATAAGGGCTTCCACCGTGCTGCCCCCTCCTTATTCACACCCACCAATAAATCCTACTTCCTGTCCACTTAGGGGAAAAAACAGATCAGGTTTGGGTTTCATGCCAGAAATAAATTGGTGATGAAATAGTTAACAGAGACCTAAGTTAGATTCCCCAATAAGTAGGCCATTAGTGGCAGAAGCATTAAAAGAAGCCTATGTAGAGACAAAAACTGAACAGAGAACCAGGTTCAAGTTCAGACCTGAGTGTCAGTAAGGGTGGAAGAGTTAACATAGGACCAGGATCAAGGCTCAGATCTGAAGGACCCATATGGTAGAAATGTGACCCAAGGTCCGGATTCAATGTAGAGAAGAGAGGACACATAATATTCTGTGTGATCCTAATCAAAACCACAATCATGTCTAGACTTCATTTGTGTTATACAGTAGCTGTCATGGACTAAATTGTGTCCCCTCCAAAATTTATATGTTGAAGCCCTAACACCCTATGTGACTGTATGGAAGATAGGGCCTTTAAGGAGATGATTAAGGTTAAATTAGGTCATAAGGGTGGAGCCCTGATCCCATAGAATTGGTTTCCTTATAAAATAGGAGGAGATACCAGAGATGTGAGGACATAGCAAGAAGGTGGCAGTCAGCAAGCCAGGAACAGAAGCTTCACCAGAAACCAAACTCTGCTGGCACTTTGATCTTGGACTTTCCAGCCTTCAGAACCGGGAGAAATTTAATTTCTGTTGTTTAAGTCACCCACCCAGTCTATGGTATTTTTTTATGGTGACCTGAGCAGACTAATACAGTAGCTATGTACATCTTTACGAGTTTTCTTAAATATATAAGAAACCCTTGGAAATGAAGAATTTTCATGAAGTTAAGATCAAAGTACTTCTCAAGAATTTTTCATGTATATTCCTGGACCTCAAACCCAGAGCTTCTCATCTAATAGATTATGGATGAGGTCTAATAATTTGCATTTATTTTAACTTTTTATTTGGAAATAATTTCAAACTTACAAAAAAAGTTGCAGAAGTAGTACAAAGAACTCTCATTTACCCTTCATCCAGATTCCCCAAGTGTTATTATTTTGCTTTATTTTCTTTACATATATAAGAGACATATATACACGCATATATATAATTTTTCTGAATCATTTGAAAGTAAATGTCTCTAAATACTAGTGTGTTTTTCCTAAAAACAAAAAAAACAAGTCTTTTATAACCACAGTATAATAATCAAAGTCAGGCAATTAATACCACTACAACACAATTATCTAATCGTCAAACTTTTTCCAAAATCTGCCAGTAGTCCCAATAATGCCCTTTACAGCAAAAGAAAATTTTTTTTTCTGTTCCCAGATCCAGCCCCAGCTTGTGCTTTGTATTTACTTGTCATATATCTTCAGTCTCCTTTAATCTAACCTTTCTTCACGTTTTATGACATTGACATTGTTTGCAGGATCTACGCAGGTTGTTTTGTAGAATGTCCCTTGGGTT